CATTATATGTTCCATTCTATATGCATCCGAAGAAGTGGGCTGTAGTCCACGAAAGCTTATGCTCTAATAAATTTGTTAGTCTCTAAGGTGCCACAAGTACTCCTGTTCTTCTTGTTCCTATAGTTGTCAACAACTGGCACCTTTTATTGGCAATCACAGCTGAAAGGCAAAGTATTGAGTGTATATGGTTAGATTGGGGGAAGGGATAGCTCAGTGGTTTGCGCATTGGCCTCCTAAACCCAGGGTTGTGAGTTCAATCCTTGAGGGGGCTACTTAGGCATCTGGGGCAAAACTCAGTACTTGGTCCTGCTAGCAACAGCAGGGAGTTGGACTCAATAACCTTTCAAGGTCCCTTCTAGTTCTATGAGATAGTTGAGGCATGCTGTGCAATGTTGTAGAAGTTTTTCTGCTTGTACTGTATCTGTCCTGCAGGATTTCAAATTGTTAGTCAAGCATCTTTCAGTGGCATAAGTAAAAGAATTGCATATTATAATATACAGCATCTTATTTATTAGAAAGGAGCCAGAATAAGTTAAGAAAGGTGGAGCTCTATGATCTAACAGGTTAGTGCACTTGCACTTGCCCACCGATTACCGGAGACTGTGGTTCAATTGCTGATTTAATTCATATATGACAATGTCTTTGTTGGTTTGCATTCTGTATCTGCTGGACATTTGTTAATATCATACAACAGCCATTCTATTGAGCATGATTGTTCATCCCATCATCCCATCCCATCAGAACTGGAATTGGAATTGTATCACCTTATAGGATTCCTACTTAACTGAGTATCCTATCAGGAGCTGCCTCTCCTCTTTGTAAACTTACAGTGTGTTGTTGTCATATTAAGAACAGACTTTTGGCCTACAGAACACTGCCTTTGGAGAATGCATTTACACTTCACATGATATGCCATATTGGCTAGTTTAGAAATTACTGTTTTTCTTCATTACCTGGCCGCACCTCCCCACTAATTATGTTACAAATCATGTGATGAGTGAGGGGACTGTAGAATGGTTAGAGCATAGAACTAGGCACTCAGCATTAACAAATTATGAACCAGCACTAAGAATCTTCAAGGAGCAGCACAAATTGGTTTGTACTCTTTTCAGTGGACAAAAGATACCTTGAATTATTAATGGTTATCAGTACAGGATGATGAGTTAACTAGTGAATTGATCTTCAATGCAAACTTATTTGTCTGAAAGTTTTTAATAAAAAATTATGTTTTTAAGAAATTTATTTTATTAGATTTGAAAGATAACTTTTAATTAAAAACTCACTTCTTACACATTTAGACTGTTGACTTTTTTTTTTTGCAATCTTGGACAATGACAATGAACTACTTCATTTTTTTGGTTTTAGCAGGTTTCACTTTCAGGCTCTCATACACTAGCACGATGTCATGATGTTTGGATGCAAATATTGCAGGTGAATGTTTAAATCCAGTGGTTTAGCTGGAATTAAAGACATCATAGAAACATTTTTGCTTCTACTGAAATAATCCCCTGCAGTGAAAACTGATTACTCATATCCATTTATATCTCTGTGGCTTTGTGAATGACACCGTTTCAACTTTTGACTTTACTGCCACTCCTGTGTCTTTCAGTACAATTCTCCAGAAACTCGGTCTCTCATTCCTTTGTATCACCTGCTCGTTTCTCTGGAACTTACTTTCTCATTTTCTGGCATTGAAAGGAAGAGTTGCTTTTCTAGTCTGGGGACAGAGGATGAAGAGAGAGAGTTTGGTATCTAAGATTCAGTGCCGCCTGAAAGGACTACATCACACAATTGCATTTTCTGACCTGATCCCCAAGAGAAAAACAAAATTGCAGCCTTCAGTGTCTGGTGGCTGTTCCAGTGGATACCTCACTGTCCAAAATCTCAAGGAATTCCTTATTTTGTCTTCACTCAACTGAGCCATTTGTGCAAATAGTGTCAGCCAGCCCTGTTCACACAATGCGAAGCTGGTTACAAGCCATTCTCCTGGAACAGAGGCATAAGGCATTTGAACAAAGAAAACTCTGTCTCTTCCCTTCCACTGGCATCCAGGCAGTTAACCCAGAAAATTGCAGCTTGCCTTTGTCTCAGGCATTTTTTAAAGCGCCCTTCTTGGCTTCTGCAAACCTCTCTTCCACAGCAGCAGAATTTCATTATCTCCCCTAGAATGCATCAATTTGTCCAGATTGGCTTTGCCACACAGTTCAAGTCACCGTGGGCGTTTTGTTTCGTTGATGGTGACATCCTGATGACTGCCACAAGGAGAGTGCACCCAGACTATGGGGGGCTGTGATGGCTATTCAGAAGGAGCCCAGGATCTGTTCCCAATAAACTTATTTTGGAACAGATTGGGATCTGATTCTGAGAGGTGCAGAGCAACTGCAACTCCCATTTTGGTCATATAGGGAGGGTGCTCAGCACTTAGGAACAGATCCTGATACAGACAGAGACTGTAAACCCCAGCGTGAGATGTTCCATCCTGATCTAAGGTCCACGTTAAAGATGAGGGTGGGAGCATTTTGGCCATCTACTGCTGTGAAGTCACAGAATTCCAAGAACAAGGTCCACACGCGGGATTCAAGGTTTAAGATCTCACTGGAAAATACCAAGCACATGAGAAAATGTGATCAAATTGCAGGAAAAAAATGGAAAAAAGGTGAGGGCTAGAACATTCAAAAATTCCCCTGTGTTACATGTACAAATCAAAGGTTTCAGAGTAGCAGCCGTGTTAGTCTGTATCCGCAAAAAGAAGAACAGGAGTACTTGTGGCACCTTAGAGACTAACAAATTTATTAGAGCATAAGCTTTCGTGGACTACAGCCCACTTCTTCGGATGCATCCGAAGAAGTGGGCTGTAGTCCACGAAAGCTTATG